CTTTTGTGGTGCTAAGGTGTTTTTGTTTTTTTTAACTGTTTGCCTGCTGTCACTGCCAGGAGGCAAATACATTTTGGACTAGAGGTACACTTGATGTATTTTAACATTCGGATCGAGATTCTAACCTTTTGTAGCCACTTTTGCAAAATGCAGATCTCAGTAAATACTGAAAACAATGTCTAAATATCCTCGTACAGACAGTTGGGAATCATCAGCTGACTACTCTCAGCCAATGACTGACATTCAGTGTAATGAAAGCTGCACCGAAATGACTTTGGGCAGACTAGTTCCAAGCTGGATGGTGACATCTCAATGACCCTGCTGGCAACAGAGGGGTTAAACTCCATGTGTGCAACAGACTGCACATACAGGTACCATAACCACTACAAATCACTGAAGAGATCATGGTGCTTGGACTAAGTATTTAAAGGGACATTATAGTCAATGGCTCTAAACACAAAAACTGCTTCATTAAGCTAAGGTAGGTTTGGTGACTATAGTGTCCCTTTAAGTTGTATGGAAGCCTTTATTTTCAGTAATAACAAATAAGGACCGTTTTCCTTCAAACGATGAGGACGTTCTGCATTCAGGAAATCCGTTACAGTTGAAGATTGATGTTTTCTTTCTCTGCATTTGTCTTCAGTGAGGATCCCCCCTTGCAGTTTGCTGATGCCCATCCGCTGCATTACCTCATCCTTTTTGGGCTAATTATCACCCCTGAGACAGGTCTTCTGCTGTCCCTGACTCGCACACGCAGCCCCCCACTCCTCCGCCTCCCGTCTTTCTGACCATCTGCACTCGAGCTGTCAGAAACCGTCAGCTTTTCCCTCCTTCGCCCTGCAGCAGAAACTGGGTCAGGCGCAGCAAAGGGGCCTGTCACATGTTTTATTTAAAGTGACCGCCGAACATCTAATCACACCCTGCCACTGCATGCATACTCTGCCCACAGAACTAATAATGTGCAGTGTGCGTTCATTAACGCCAGGAGCGACGTGCATCACACCTGCAGATTGTGTTCACCACTCCAGCAGAGCAAGGGTTAACACCGGCCATTGGAGATAGGCGAAGGGGGGCATTCACTAAGCTGAGAATTGAGAAGAAATTGGGGAGAGTTTTAAAATACAGTAGCCAGTTACAGAGTTCTTTTTGACCTGAGTTTCCTTCAACAATGCTGCTTATTTGCTACGTCGCTGAATAAACTCCACGTATAGTAGAGAAACATTAAAATGCATATTTCATAAATATCCCACAGACCTATTAATGTTAATAAGGCAATAAAACAGAACCAATTAACCCATGCGGACTGCTGATTAGAGAACAAAGTAATCCTACCTAAAATCCACAACAAGCGAATGTATAGCTCGTGAGACTAAAAGGGGTGTATCCATTTAACAGAGAATTGTAGTTAATTTTAAACTGAATTGCTAAATTCCACATACAGGAAGCTGTGTGTGGAGGATGTGAACGTAAAGTAGTTATATCGTTATTCTAGTTGCTGGTGATTGTCAGCACAGAGATTTTATATATATATATTTTACTGTATCTATCTGAACAAAAACAAGCAAAAGTATAGGGTGCGCCAATATAAAGTAATGAGTATCTCCAAATTCCAGGGTCAAATGTTGCTAAAGTGTAATAAACAAATATGGTGGGATACCAGGTATCCGGATAGAGTTCATGGAACAGTTCACTTCTAGTGACAAATTTCCGTATGATGCTCTCGGATTGGGCTACACTTTGTGACAGCGTATCTTAGAGACTAAAGAAAACAACATAGTGCAATATGTCTCTCAAATGTATCACAAACGGCATTTAGGTCCAATTTTTAAACTCACATTTGATGGAGCTTAATCCAGCTCTAGATAAAACGGCATACAGCGTTTTCTAAATCCCCACTTGTAGGAAATCCCTCTGGCAAAAGTTACAACAGGCTAACGGTGAGTAGGACCATATTAGATAAAAGAAACATTAGTGCTCTCTCCATATGGGTAAGTATAAATTATAGATGTAAATGTACTTCCAATAAAAAGAGCAGACAGACTGCTCTATGATTCAGGCGTGGGTGGTATAATCCCCACCTAGGATTCTTTGGACTGTGGTCTTCAGATGTCACAGGTGATAAAACCGAATTCCAGGTGTAAAACAAATATCTGAACGTAAAAGATTTAAAGTATGTGGCAAAACCAACTGCTGAGG